TAGGGTTAATTGAGGCTGCAGATTCGGTTCAGGGGTTGCTTGTCACATTACACAATGTTTGTTTTGGTTACTGCGTTTTTATATCCGGCACAAGGACTCTATTTAAGTGGTCCGAATTTGTTTGATCGACTTCCATAAATCACTGCCACATTCAGCTTATAATTAATATAATAGTAATACACTATTACATTTTACTACTGCAATCCTAGGAATCCTAGGCGTGCTTTAAATTTCAGACATCGTAATATAATAATGAAATAATAAAGAAATAATAAAGACCCAAGAATTTTGTTCAATAGATACGCAAATGTCGACGACTGCATCTGCAACACTCTGTGGCACAGAAAACATGCAAAGGAAATTTCCGTTTCCGGTCGGGGAAACTTTGTTAAAGCGACGCGAAATGGGAGGCGAGGAAAAACGCATCACACAATCACGTTGCCTTTGGCCGCGGGATAATGCAAACGAAATTGGTCTCACTTTGAATTCGATTGATTTGTCTGCTGCACGGCTCGATAATATCCTCTTAAATCACTTAACCACATTTGCCGATTACTGCGGCGACAGAGGAAGAATGTCCTTGGCTGTCGAGCGCAGCGGGGGCCTCCGGTGTAAATTCGGTGTAAATTTTCACACATTATTCGGATGCCCGGACACGGACGAGACAATTACTTTGGCTCCGATAGCATTGTCTAGTGGGATTTTCTTCACTTCGGCGGCCATCTCTTTTGCACACATTGCACATCGCACAGCACACAGCTGATACTGTTAATATGCGCCGCAGGACATCAAACACGGCGCAGGCGAGGGATCAGGACGAGGTATTTAGGGCACTCAACTTTGTTTGGCCAATCCGCTTAGTCCTTTGTATCTCTCAGCCGCTGTGGAATACATTCGGAGGGTCGGGATTATCGCTTGTCCTGTGTGATTGTTAAATGAACAACGCCTGTGAGAGTGTCTTCTCTGCCGAAACCGCAAGGACATTCTTCAAGATCGATCGTTTTGCGGCCATGTTGCTACTGTATGTTTTACTCTACCTCTCTTCTGCGCTCTCCGCCTCTCAGCTGCCTGCGAATGTGATCCTGATCCTTATCGCAGCATGCGTCCTTTCACTACTCCTGTGTTGTTTTCACAGCCTCCTAGCCACAGTTGCCCTCATTAGCAGCTTAGGGGCGTTGACGTGTTTTGCTTGCGTTGTTGACAATGTTTGCTACTTGCCCGGCTGTATAATGTCCTTGTTTCAGCCTGAAAGACACTCTTCTTTCCAAAGCGTGCACTTCCCATCCGCTTTTGTTGGCTTCCCGAGTGGAACAAGAGGTTCCTGCGAGAGCGATCCATTAAATAATAGTATCAGTGGCATGTACAGGAACAGAAGAACGCCTATAGGATGCACAGGGATGGAAAGCGGTCGGGGGTTGAAAGTGGAAAGCAAATCGGTAGATTGCCATCGGATGTTGGCTAATTTTGATTACTATCGATCGATCTAGCCAATTTCACAGCACTGCCTTCAGTCTTTTAATTGAATTCATTAAGTATTTAAAAGTTCCTTTTTCGATTTCGGCTAGAGAATAAAAAGATGGGGATCATCTATATAAGGAATCGGATCTTCTTATTGTACACTGTATGCTTAATTTGTAAAACTAATCTATAGGATGGGTATCTTCTTATTTTCTTTTATTCAGATACAAACAACTACTAACTACATTTTGACATTAACTTTTTTTATTTCTTTCAGAGATTGCACTGGCGCCATCTGTCGTCCGTAGAGTGGTCCCCGCGGTTTCTACAAACACGGATAGGTGTCGCCTTGCCGATAGATGGCGCTGCAGTGCGTTCAAAAGTGTGTCATGTAGAAGTATTAAGTCTACAGAAAGCTTTTATTCAGTACAACAACCAAAGCGTACGATTTTAAAATGAAATAAAATAAAGTTCTATTTGACATTAAATTATATAACATTATGATTTCAAAAGCCAGGGCACTGTAGATGATTTCAAATTTATTCGTACATCTGCAGCTCAATTTAAACTGGCAAATAAATTTATATTAAATTAATGCACGACATTTGCTTACTCAGCAAATGACAGATAAATGACAGATAAATGACAGATACTTTAGCCACTAACGATATGATGTAACTCAATTTTTGATATATTTTTGGCTAATTTGATCAACAGTATTAAGCCTGCACATTATGAGGTATCAATCTCTGCACCTGCACAACTCTAAGCCTTTAATGTATTATTTGAGTTATAAGCTTGTAGTTTCGTTTTTAGTTTCAAGAGGATTCAGCCATTATGCCAATTTTCTGTGCAACTTGATTCTGTATTGAATCTGGCTTACAGCGGTAAGAGCGAAACAAAGGAAAGAAACGAACCCGACAAATGTTAAGCAAGAATAATGCGTTACACGAAACTGCACTAAGCTGAACATTTTGGGTTTTACACTCCTCAGAGTTTTTTCTTATTTATCTATCTTTTATGCGCCTCCTTGCAGCGCGAATCAAATGAAAGGCGGCGACAAAAGGATGTTTTTTGTAGCAGCAACTTTGAACTCCACTCGCTCTTTGCCAGTCAAGGAGGCCAGAATCCCTTTTTGGCCTAGACAAATGACACCCGGGCTCTCCAGCGCAGTCATCAGTCAGAGTCGAGGAACAGTAAAAATCTCTTTGGGTTCCCGGATTCCCGGAACGCATGGGAGCCTAGGAGCAAGCGGGGCGAGGCGACAAAAAATGGACTCCATCATGTACATGAATGCCCATGCTAATTAGGACTGTCCTGGGGGACGGCCAACCGGACCTGGGCCAATTAAATGCTTAAGCTGACTTTCGGGTTCGAGCTTGTCATAAATTTTGACTGATTATGCGTATTCGTCTTTGTCGTAGCCCCTTCCCCCGGCTTCTTCCTCTCGCCGCCCCAAGTGCCCGTCTCGTCCTTCGCATCTCATCCTTCGGCACAAGTACCCGTGACAACTGAAGAATTTTCTGCGGCATCCGAGCCCCACCTCCCAAGTGTCCAACGCAATTCATCATTCAATTAAATTGACCGCAAAGAGCCGCATTTCGCATCGCTCAGTTCGTCGACATCGCCTTGGGTTAAGTTTTTAAAGTTGCCCAAAGTCGAATCCTTTAATGCCTTGCCAGCTTTTGCTGCAATCGATTATCCTTTCAATAAAATGCCGCGGACCGGCAGCCAAAAAAAACTTTTACCCCCTCGAAATTTAACGCTTTTGCCTGCCGCATCCCCCTGACCCCAAAAAATTGGGGATATCTTTTGAGGTTGATTTATGCGCTGGCTTAAAAGCGAATTGTTGTGAGCTGCTAACTGGAAATCTGTTTGACTGCACGTACTTGTTCTGGTCCTCCACACATTGCCCCCCCTCCCCCGAAAGACCCATCATCGTCTTTCCGGGCTTAAACGATTGCCAAACAAAGTCAAAAGAGCGTCGTGCATGCCGAAGGATACGGAATCCTTTGCATTTGAGCTGCGCTTTTTTTTCGCTTTTTTCGCCAGACTTCTTGCTATGCCGGTCCCGGCAGCTCAAGGATTTCGCAGCTGTCCTGGTCACAGTCACTATCTGCTACCCGGATTTGGCCAAAGTGATTTACGACATGCTCATGCCAGGCATTCAAAATGCGGTCTAATTGAGACTCCTTAGGCGATTAATCCTTGGCTAATATGGCGAAATTCAACAAGTCTACGCCACACATCCCATTTCCCATAAATTTATTTTTCCACTTGCTGCCGATGCCGTTTAGAACTCCGAAAACCGCTTTGATTAATTAACACGCTCGATGTTTTTATATTTGCCATATGTGAGAAAAGGAAAAAAATGAAAAGTGATGCAGAAGCTCTAATAAGTGAGCCCAACACTGAATTGAGATGTTATCACGATTTATTCGGCTTGTTTACTTTATAATACACTAACCGAAAAATTCATGTTTGATGTTTACGATTTAGGCATTTACTCCGTGCTGTCATAAGTATTTCACAAGCCTAGTTTTTATAGCATCTATACAAGTATGAATATTCATATATACAATTATTATTATTTAAGAATATTTGGCGCCGCACAAGTGTGAAGCTTGCATTGTGCTCACTGAAAAACGAACTACAAATGCTGCGTTTTTGTGCAGTTTTCTTGTGGTTTTAATTGGTACCTACAGTTTTTAATCAACGCCCCCGATTAAGCTGTATGTATTGGTTGGAAGGAGGAGGCCAGCATAAAGTGTAGACTTTGAGGGGCGTTGGGAGGACTTTGAAATGGGTGTAGGCAGTGGGATGGAATCCTTTGAATTGCGGTTGCCATGACAAACTCTTATTTCGCTCGGCATTCCGTTGTCTGGCTAATTCAACGTTTGTGCAGCATGCAAAATATTATAAAATTCCGCCGAATGTCGCAGGTAGCAAAAGACGGGGGAAAAAAATAACGGACACAGAAACTAATAAACGACAACAGGTGAGGCTGAAAGCTGACACGTGGCATCAACAACGCTGAATAAGAATTCAGAACTCAAGGCGCATTTTTGGGGGAGTGGACTTTCGGCAATAACTGTGGCCCAAGCGCCGGTTGCCAAAGCGACCAGCTGTGGAGTAAAGTTGAAGTTTTTCGAGGGGAATCGAGCCTGTTTCGGCATCGATGGCCCGTCTATCGATAGGCGGCAGGACCTGTTATCGCAGAGGGCGCCAAAAAGCGCTATCGTTCTGGCCCAACAAACCCCCGAGTTCCCTCATTCGTTGGCCTGCATTGGGGGCGTGGCCTGGCCTACGCACAGCGAGTGTAGCCAGCCCGCTCTAGCAACCACTTTGCAGAGCAGGCGCGAGCGAGTCCGCACGCTTGGCTCGAAAGCAAGATGGCTGTGGGCTCAGGTAGCTGTCTCTTTTCCTCAACCGCCCAAGGCCCTTGGAAGCGGTGTGTTCTCTTTGCGATTTTTGCAAATCAATGCGGGAGATAAGCAGCCCGCTGGCAGAGATAACGCTTGACTTAACCGTCAATTGTGCGAGGGGGTGGCGATTGAATGGGACGCCAGTGCGCAGTCGTTGTTGTCGAAGTTATCAGGGCCCGTAGTCAATTCGCTTTGATTTTTTCGCACTGCCCTCAAATGCAAGCGAGCAGCGCTACGTATACGGCGTACAGCTCCCATGCGATACGATACTGCGATCCAATTCGATCCGTTTCCGTTTGTCAGTGCCTACAAAGCCGTCGCAAGCAGAGACTCCATTAACCGAATTGATCTGGCTGGGAAATGCCAAGGAATAACTAAGTGAAAATGTGCCCGAAGTGCGAAAAGCTATCAATTAAACAGTAGAAACAAGGACGAGTGACCACACCCGGTGGTGGAAGCAAGCCGTGTCCTCCGGCGGACAGTGTCCGGCTGTCAGTTGGTCAAACAGTTCATCAATAAACGATTACGACTTCCGTTTCATTGCGTGTCCCTAAGCTGTGCATGTCTGCGTGTCCCTGTGTGTGTGTGTGAGTGCCTGTGTGTGTGTGCCAGCTGCGTGTGTGTGTGTGTGTGGGAGCTAAGGAAACTTTTCAACTTCCGGCCAAGTGACTTGGATTTAATTTCTTTGGCTTTTTTATGGTCAAGGCATTTAATTAATTTTACTATGGCAATTTGATCGTCTGCTGGTCTGAACTCTGACCCCAGCCCATAACCCTGTGGCATACACAAAACAAGGAGGCGGACCAGGACGAGAAGTAGGAGGAGCCAGGTGAGTCCTTGGCCAAATGAGCAATAAAACTCAATGCAAATACCCACACAATCGAACTTTGGCAGAAGTTTCTGCGGTTAAGGAAAGTGAAATGGATTTAGTTTTCTGGTAAATCGCACAATAGTTAAATTACGCAAATAGCTGGACATTTGACAGAGGTCAAAGTTCAAGAGAGGACGAATTATTTACAACACACAAGCAATTAGTATTCTTAAATGTTTTGCCAAGAAAATATTAGCTTTGGCACATTATTCAAAAGTTGAAAAAGACAAAAACTCAGACATTCATTTATAAAACTGATACATTGTAGTGAAATCGTAAAATTTGTAAGGCAGTTTAATGAATAATAGTAATTAATAATACAAACAAGTTGTAGTATTGAAAATTAACAAGCACAAAAATCAACTTATATCTATATTTGAGTTGAGCAGAAAGCACCCATCCAAAATAACAAATCTGTTTACTTACAGCCGCACCCATTTCCACCGAACAATTGAGATGTAATTTGCACCGCAGGTGAACTTGAACTTCAACGTTCTGTGATAGACGAGTATACGAGCAGGAATTCCCATTGGGATTCCGCCACCAGTCGATATCGATTCCCGATTCAATCAAATTGGATCCCGAATCTTAACTTTTGGAGCAGCAATCAGAAACAGCGACAAACTGTCGACTCTGTCGATCCGCAACTTCTCGGCAAACATGCTGAACAATCTTGGGGCCAATGTGCTGGGTAAGTTTTTCCACCAACTCCTGATGGGTGGCTACGGGGGGCTACGGGGGCTGCGTATAATGTTGCAATTAAGATCGGCAAGTGAATTGCGCTAATGTATAATAACGTGTGTATTAATCCATGGCTTCCGATCCGGCTGGCCATAATTAAACTAATTTCTTGAGCACACCCACAAGCCCAAAAGATCGGGGGGTAGTTACTCGTACTTCCGATCTTGCGATTGCCATCGCATCTCCCATGTCTCCCATGTCTGCCATGTCTGCTAAATGGCCTATAATTGAGACGTCTAACCAGATGGCGCCAGGTGTCGCGTGCATTTAGCAATAATTAAGTTGTGTATTTAACTAACTCGGCAAACCTTCTCCGATTCCCATGCTCATTCCCATTCCCAATCGAGTGTGGGTGTGGGTGTGGGTGTGTTTGTGTTAATTGATATAATTGCTCTTTTAAATATGCCGCAAATTGTGAATTACATTCACACATTCACTCGGCGCACGCACATAATTATCAAACTGTACTTGTGTCCTCATATTAATATATTAATAAATCCGAGTACACGCACTCATACATATGTGCATATGTACGTGTGTGCGGGCGAATAAATTATTTTTACCACACTGTTGATCAACGGTTCAAGCACTTTCAATTTTGGCAATCAATTTGTTGTTAGCCGGCCAACACTACCAGAAAATACAGTTTGCAAGTGAAATTGCAATTGCAATTGCAACTGCAACTGCAACTGCAGCCATGGATGAGTTATGGCTCGCGTTTTTATTCAATTTTTATTGCCAGCATCCTTGCGTCCTTCGGAACGTTGCCATTAATTACTTTTATTAATTTATTGCCATTTTTCACGCGCCAATTGTCCACGCCGCTTGGTCCACGCGGCGTATGCGTAATGTCCATAGTTGCCATTGAAGACGGGAGTTTAATTAAAGGCTACGAGGAGTTCGCAGCCCCGAAACTGATCTGACTGGGTGCTATCTGTTATGGATCTGTTATGGATTGCGACTGTCAAAGTTGGCCTTTAAAGTTTTCGCCGGATTCAAGTTGCGCCTGCTCCGCTTCCCCATGGAAAACTATAAATTTCAATGTATCGCAGTGCGGAATCCTTTGGCCAAATCCTGCCCGCAGTGCTGGAGTCGGCCATAATAAATTTCGTGAGCCTTTTTCCGAGTTCCGCACAACAGAGAGGCCAAAAAACATTTGCATACTGGGTGCGTGGTCGAGAGGGGCAAAGTGGATGCTCCCCCCTTACAATTAAGAGCAATTTGCATGCAAAGAAATGGCAGAACTTTCCCCGTATTGTCTACCCAACTAATGCTTCATTTGCATGCAGCGAAAGAAGCTCGAATGGCGTTGGCTTGGGCGCTTTTTTCGTGAGCCTCGCATTAATTAAATTAATTTCATGATTGCATTTGTAATTTGCACAGACCCCTTCAGGTTTTCCCCCACCGCCCGTTGCAGCCCCGAAATATCTGCGTGTGCTTCGCTTTGTGCGTTCGGCATTTTTGCGGTGGCCTAGGCTAGTGAAATATGTGTGCTTGATACCGCCGAGCCCCGCCGAACACCGCTTAGCCCCCCGCTGCCCCACTAGACACCCACAGGACCCCAGCTCCCACATCCGCTTTGCATTGAAATGTTTTGCGGTTGCTGCGGATTCTGTTCCCAGTTGCGGTTAGTTGTTGGAGCAGCCCAGATTCCAGGCCATGCCATTCCAATCCAATCCAATCCGTTCGGAGCGATCTGCAACGTAGTTTGCCCAAGTGGAGGCCAAAGCCTATGTCCTGCTAAAAACCGCACAATTTCCAAATTTCAATAATTATGCACATTGCAGAATGCACATGCAACTGACGGCGAATGGATGCAACTGGATGCAAGTGCTCTGCCATGAAAGTGCGTTTCTGGCCATTCGGCTGGCCATTCCGGCCAGGTCCATATATTTTGCGGGAGAAATCGCGTCGTTCGCTCCCAAAAACAGGCAAACTGATTTGCGCAAATTGTGCAAATTGCTTGCGCGATAAATTCATGTTTGCCAATTTTAATTAATTAATCGCTTTGTGCGGTTTTCATTTCGTTTCGCTCCTCTTTCTCGCCGGACCAACTAAAATGTTCGCTTCAGGCCAGATGTAAATGTATCTGGGTCCGAGTGTTTGTATCTGCATCTGTATCTGCGCGCATGTTGCCGCTGCAATGTTTACAGTTTCGTATTAACGCTATTGCAATTTCGGCCAGGTGGCAAATGGAGGACCAAACTAAATTACGATGATAGATAACAAAATTATGCCCTATTAGCACGCGTCCTAATGATTTGGGAACATGCATTGGTTTTTATGTCAGTTTTGCGGTTTACACACATATTTCGGATAATATTTGTCAGCTTTCTTATGTTCAATGGCAATTTGGTAATGGGTTTGGGAGTGAAATAAATTGAAACCACAGTATTTACTTTTTGAAAGTATAGCCAATGGGGGATTGGAATTTTCATTGAGTTCATTTGATCATTTAATTGATCTTATATTTTAACTCATTTTATTATTACTTTGATTTGAACATTTTATTAACTTCCTTTATAATGAAAATGTAAGCGGGTTAAGCTGTGGGGCTGCCACACAAGGCCAGCTTCAGAATCCAGAAACTTTAGCCCTGAATGAGACTACTGCGTCATCTTGATCTGCATACACAATGAACAGTTAGGGCTGCTTCTTTTTAATATTTATGTGTTACAACTGTAAAAGGCGAGGTGAAAAAATCAAAGTTAGACCAACTAACTAACTAGCCAAGCCGGGCCGCGTCTCAGCCGGCAAAGTGCGATTTCGAGAAGTGGCGCTATTTTATGGCTCCCAAACGTGGCCCAAACACACACATACATACGAGTATACTCATAAATGTATCGTATGTAGGCACAATATTTGAAATTCGATTTGAGAAAACAGAAGGAAGCGGGAACAGTTGGATGTTAAAAGTCGCACTTCTTTGGAGCAACGGACCAACGGCGATGTATCTGTAGATATGCACACGAGTATCTATCTGCTCGCAGCAGATACATGTTTGAGATGTTGCCATCGAGCGTGAATTTCCAGCTGAGGGATTGAGCATCCAACTCGATGGAGATATCGCACCTAACACCGCGCCTTAAATTTACTAATCACGAGCAGAGAGTTTGAAGTTTAAACGCCATTCGATGCGTGCTGCGTAATGCCCTAAAAATATGTGTCAGTGAGCTGGCAGCTTCAGATACTTTCGTGTATCTCTGCTACAGTTTGCCACAATTGCAGTGTCTCAGCCCCGCCCGGATTGGAAACTCTTTGGGGCTGGCAGTTTCGAAAGGCGGAGGGGTTTGGTCCCGATTGGGGACGTCACCATCTGAAAATCGCTAATGAACAGTAGCCGCACTGGGTGTATGTGTAAAAATTAGCACTTTCCGGGCAGCGTTTTAAAACGCAACAACTACAAAAGGCCTGCTTCAGGGAATGTCGCTTGAAGGAACTCCATATCTTTTATTTGTTGATATTTATATTTATGGTTTTATGTGGCGTCTCTCGACGCTCTGAACTCGTTCACCTGTTGGCCACCGCTTGTGATAGTGAGCTGGCATCGCTGGCATCGCTGGCTTCGAATATCTTGTATCGCTCCGCATTTCCGACGTACGTGAGTCTGTGATGTATGCCGAAATTTTAACAAGTCCATCTCGAAAACAATAAAAATCATTGAGAGCCGCCATTCCCGCCACCGCCAACATCAAAGTCGGCAATCGAGAGTGCTGTGTTGTCCGCTTGAGAAATTGAAATGTATTGCAACTGGAAAGGATTGGGAAGCTGGCGGAGGAGGTCGTTTTTTCCGCTTAGTTGGGATTTGCATTTCGGACTCGCTTTCAGCGGAAACTGGCCAGTTGCCGTAGGCCGCCTACACCTTCACTTTGGGCCCAATCGAATGGCCATCATGACAACATCGCGCAGGGGTTCCGTCCCCCAAAGGTTACAACTCGGGGACGAGAGTTCGCATCAACCGGCGATGAGTAAATGTTTGACTTGCAGCAACAGTTGAGTCCGGGCCACAAAGGGAATCGGGCGGAAAGAGTTGGGCCGGAGTCTCTCTCGCACGTACATGTTAAAAATTCCAGGCGTTCGATGAAGATGACTCTCCCGTGAATCCCGGACCCCGGACCCCGAACCCTTTCCACTGCCAATCCAGTGCCATCCAGCGATATACACGTACAAATAATATGGAAACAAAATAAAAATACGTTACGTAGTCAAGTGAGGACTGAAGGTAGAAAAGGGGTTAGCACTTGGCGGCTCTCTCTCGCGTTTGTATCTGTATCTGGTATATGGTATCTGTACCTGTATCTGTATCTGGAACTGCGCCCGTATGTGTATCTCAACTTCTGGCCATATCTGTGTATATCTCGCACCTCTCTCACGTTTGTTACTGTTTTGGCATCTTTCGCCTTCTGAATGACAGGTTGTTGAAAAATTCAATCCGATCGCCGCAGTTCGTTTCGAGCAATCCTCTAGTTCGTTAGCTCGGCGGTCGCCAATCGAAATTAATTAAAAGACAAATGTTTTCCGTTTGAGCGGCAAGTGTGAATGCGGAGTTCAGTGAAACATTTTTGATATTAAACATTTAGAAACTTCGTGTGCGTGTGTGCTTCGGTGACATTCAAGCTTTAGTCTTGACCTACAGCCTGTGAATTGTTGTGGATATATACAATGTATATCAAATAATTAAGCCAATCAGAAACCACTTACATTCACATTCGGCATTGGACGATTTGCAAGCTCCTCTGCTCTTTTGCGGCGCAAGTTGTATCCGTTTAATAGGGAATAACTTCCAGTGCGTCGCGTCTGTTGACCCCAAATGTATGTAATGGCCAAAATCGGTGGAATAATGACAAATTGCAGCAGAAGCAACTTCAATAGATTCCAAGCCAGCCAGTGTAAGGGGGCTGAAATCAGATTCAGAAACCAAACCGATACGTAGAAAATCATTATTCAGTGAAAATATATAAATCGAGCGCGTTTAGTAAGGACTTATTAGATTTTTTGAGATATTTGTCCAAGCCAGCTGAAGTCGAGAACTAAAGTGATTGATTAGGAACTCAGGGCGTATATGATGTTGAATAAAAGGGGCTAACTACTTGGTACTTTTTTCTAAGTCATTAGATTTCTTTATGATTTATTTATTTGATAATAAGTGAGCGTGAAAAGCCGCCGGTCATGGAATTTTGAGCTTAAACATATAAATCAATATTGAATAAATCGAAATCTGCTTCTTGGCCGCCCTGGTACATAGTTTTTTGACTCACTGCATTAGAAGAAAAGCCTTATAAACAGTTTCTGTAGTAGTTTTCTGTCAATCGCTATAAGCTACCTTCCTCCATTCCAGGCCCCAAGGATTGTGATCTGCCCAAGGCCGCGTTGACAGCACTGCACGCGGGCGTCAATAGTTTTGGCCAACTGCCTGTCGGCCCCAACTTGGCCGATCTTGGCGGCGGAGCGGGAGGCGGTGGATCCTCCGGCGGAGTGCCAGTGGGCGGGGGCGTGGCACGCCTGCACATTTCCGGCGGACTGTGCGACAACTCCAATGCGCTGAACGGCGGCAACGGAAGCAGTGGCAGCGGCAACGGCAACAACAACGGCAACGGCAACGGCAACAACAACAACAACAGTATGCAGCAACAGGATCAGGTGAGCAGGCCAGCGCTACATAGAGAGCGAGAGCGAGAGAGCGGGAGAGGGAGAGTGTCCTTGTGGCAGGAGAGAAGATGCGTCATAGCGCCTAGTTGATACGAAACTTTTTTAATAATCCATGTTCTTTTCGATGTTTATTTTTCCTTCAAATTCTACTCTGCTATGCCACAAAATCCAAAATCAAATACAATCCAATTCGATCCGATCCGATCCGAAATTCGAAATCTGAAACGAAAATGCAAATGAAAATCTGTTTCCAAAAACGTGAATGTGTGTGTTCTGAATTGTGTAATGAACCTAATTAAATGTGCCATGAATCATATTCGTATCTTATGAATCATATACGTAAACTATAAACAAAAGTAAGTGTACTTTGATTTTCATACTTAGAACCGTAGAACTCCTAACCGTAGAACTACTACCTAGTCTAACTGTAACTTCTGTAGACCGTAATCCGTATACCCTAACGTAGTGCGTAGCTTGCATTTGTAGTGTGGTAGTTCGTCACTGTTGTAAGACCCGCCCGTCCAGCCCATCCACTCATTGCCCTTTCGCCTTCGCCGTGTCTGTCTTCCAGCACCTGGACAAAAACAAGCAGAAGCGCCACCGCACCCGCTTCACGCCCGCCCAGCTGAACGAGCTGGAGCGCTGCTTCTCGAAGACCCACTATCCGGACATCTTCATGCGCGAGGAGATCGCCATGCGGATCGGCCTCACTGAGTCCCGCGTCCAGGTGAGTTAATCCCACAGAGAAATCCTGCTCTTGACAGGAATAGTGGCGGGAAGAAGGGCCCAATCTCCTCAAAATATGATTAAGACTTACATGTGGCTGTGTTTATTAGGTAGCTCAATCTCTATCGGGATTTTATTTAGATAAACAGTACCGCCGGTGCAGCTTTGCCTATAAAAGGACTTATGCAGACTGACACTATTAATACTATTAATACTCACTTTTCCATTAGTTTAGACTTTTACATAAAGAAAACCTACCTACATATATATTTGATATGATTAAATCTTTTTAAACACTTTTTAAATAGTTGTATTCTTACTAAAGCCAAAAAAATACTGCTCCTTTGACCATTTAGCTGTAATTGTTAAATTTCCTGTAATCCCACAGTTGTAATCAGCAGTTGTGAGTAATTTTGCGTACATTGCTACTACCGGGGTAACCGTCTTTTCTTACTCTGTACCAACTAACTTTGCGTGGTTTGTCCTGCGGCTCGACAGTTGTCAGTGGTCGTAGCTGTCGGGATATCGGGCTCAGTTCGTTTTTGGAGCGACATGACATTTCACTTGTGTTGCACACAACCGCAACGGACATTTGGATTTGGGATGGCGAGGAGGAGGGCATCCTTCTGCCAGCTTGCAACAGTTTACGAGGCTCTGGGCTGAAAGTCGCCGCCGAACGCCATTTAAGCGCCCAAAATTATACTTTATTAAAGCACATAAAGTCACATTTAGTCGGGCATTCAGCCACACCCACACACAAGCAGTCTCTGAGCAGGATGCTCTTCCTTTTTGCCTGCAAAGTTTGTGCCACACACACACACACACACGCACACTGGCACCAGCATACACACACACAATGGGCATTATCCTTTTGTGGCGGGCACAACTCCCCTGTGCAGCTGCCATTATCCTTGTCTCGCTCCCGTTCGCCACCGAAGCCCCAATCCCAGCTCCGCGAAGGTCCTTTTTGCATGCGGGCGGGCTTTGTTTATGCGACAATCGAATTTACTGCTTCATTAAATTTGTGTTTAAGCTTCCGTTTCCGCTTTCACTGCTTGCTTTTGCTCATTGCCAGGGATTTGTGCTCCGCAATGTGCGGGAATTGCTCCTGCGGTGTAAATGAATGCCAAAAACTTTGGGCTTTCGGACTACAACTACTGCTCTAGCTAAAACAATTAGCCATGAGTGAGCAACTCAGCGGCGGCGACACCTTCATGATGATCCTGCCCACATCCTGCCCGCCGCCGGATGTGTCCTACTTTGATAAATTGTTTTAATAATTGCGTATCAGTGTTGCCCGTTAATGCTTTTTTCCAACCACTTCGCCAGCCCCGGGATCCGGTTGTCCGAAAGGACAATGCAATCACCTGCCAGGGGGTAAAGTCAGCAGGGGGGGGATGCGGGGTGAGTCTGGAGGATGTTCAGGATGTTCAGTTAGAACTGCCGTCGGCTTTCACATGGCTTTCTTTTTTCGCTCTCCCGGCCACGTTGCCGTTGTTGTTGTAGTCCTGCTGTTTTAATGCTTGATTTTGCGTTGTCGTTGCGGCTTAGAGGATGTCAGGCCATTGGATTAGTTTTGGGATTGCTGTTTAATAAAATTAGCATATAAATTAAGTTCGCAGTCGAAGGCGAAATAAAATATTTAGAGCATCGAAAATTTCACACTTTCACGGCAATGCGAGCGCTGAGGTCGGCCCTTCATTCGATATGCACACACACGCCTGGCCCTAAATCAATCTACAAGGATTTGCAGTTAATGACGGCATAAAGACAGCCCTCCCCCCCCGTCCCATGCAGATAAATGCCCGAAAACGCTTGTCCATATTAGCCACCGAAAATCAAGTCCAAGTTGTGCGTGTGTGGAAGCACAAGGATATCTTCCTGGGCTTCAGCAGGTGCATAAGTTATGAAGCTCACGTAGTGCGTAGTGGCTGAGCGGAAAACTCATACGTGCGGGCTACAAAGGAGCAACATTTATGGTGAATATAATTTAATAAAAATAAAAGTCGCCGTTAAGCAGCTGCCCCCACGCATTCCCTAATCGGATTTTCCCAGTTTTGGGCCAAATTAGAATAGCCGAGAGCAGCGGGCGGCAACCCGGCAATTGTTAATTTGTGTTTTCACACTGTGCACAATTTGCAAAGGACAATCTGTTTGTCACACGTGACATCCTCGCGGGGGGCAGCTTTTTGGCTGGGTGGGGCTTTCCACGGGGGTGACCAAGAAGATGGCCCACCAAATTGACTTATCATGATCTGGCATTGTCAACAGCACCGTTGTTTCGGCTTTGTCTCGAAGGCTGCAACATTTATTGGTTTGTTTATTAAATTGTTGCAACACCAGGGGGTGGGGTGGTGTGGGTCAGGGGGCAGGTCGAGCGGCGGCACAGCACGTGTCTGTGTTGGTGGGTGTGTGCCGGTGCACTAAATGAATTTCTCACGTGATTAATTTGCCCGGCAACCTGGGCCACGAAAGGCCAGTTCTCCTGAAAGTTCGCGGGGAATGTGGTGAATGCAGGAAGAGATTGGGAAAACTAATAATTTACCTGGCAACCATCTCATAACCAATGCGAACTTAGTGAATCCTTCACATAGCAGCTCTGGCACAAGTTCATCGTAGTTTCCCAAGTGGTTTTCAATGAATTAGAAATGGATTTTATTTAAGCAACAATGGAATGCGTATTGTCGCTTATTTCAAATATCGTACTGTAGTTTAATGCCTTGGGAAACTAATGTCCGCATATCCATGAGATTTTAACATTTAAGTTTGGTATTATTTGTATTTCTGCACTCGTGTGTTCCCTGCAAGCAACTTTAACCATTTGTGACTCAGCAGGAATGGGGAATATCGATTGTGCTCCGCAAGGTGGACGAGTGCCCATGCCCATCCAGAGTGACGGAACTCTGGGACCTTCCCACTCTGAGCACTGATAAATTATTGCCTCGACTTCAGACAGAACTAATTTATTTGCTGAGCCGCCTAATGCCCCTCTAATAGCCGTTCCCCGACTGCTCGAGATTCTGGGCATATCAGCTATATCTCTGTGACTGCGGGCCAATATGCGAGTCTTTCGACAAAAATTAGACGAAATATTCTCATAAAAAGAGAGTATCTTTATTAAAAGCCCGGCTGCAATGGGGCGGGAATGCGGGGCAGGGATGCACGGGGTCAAGGAGACAAGGGGACAAGGGGACACTGTAAAATGGCGAATATTTTTCAGCGAAGCACTCCAAGTCGCTTCAAAGGCGACTGGGTCGCGTCTGTATAACCATGGCATCGCAAATTTTAATTAAACTTTAATTGAAATACCAAAAACGAAAATATGCAACCGAAGAGGAAAAGGAAAAGTGGTAGCCGCGAGTTGGGGGCCATGCCAAATAAGTGGACGGGCTAAATTTAGCAAGAGCTTTAAAATGAAACCCCCAACTCGGAAAGTGGGCGGAGGGGCGGCGGTCTGCGGCGCATTCTCCATAAAATGCACATAAAGAGCATCAAGGAAATCTGGCACGCATTCTGTTTATGGCATATGAAGCAATTCCAAAAGCAATTTCGTTGATACTTTTCATTGAAATGTTTGTGTGAAAATGGCGTGCCAAAGTGCCGGACGGACTTTGCGGGATGGGCGCCAGATTGGGGGTATTTTCTGGGATAAGCTGCTCCAAATGCTGCTGCCATTGATAGAATGACAAGAGTCCCCACGACCCAAACAAAAAAAAAAACAAAAAAAGAAGCAAAAAGGCTGAAAAACTTTGTAAAGCTGGAACAAAACGAATCCGAGGGCAGCATCCTGGAGCTGCGCATGCTCCACGAATGCAGCGTAACATTTTCGGGGGTTGCATTGGACACCATTCCCCGGAGCCCGGCGTCCCGAACCCCAATCCCCGAATCTGAAGCCCAATCTGAGGGCCGTAAGAGGCTGCAGTTGCCCCGGCAACCCACAAAATGAATGGCCGAAATGAAAAAGGCAAGTCCCAAAAAAAACTGGAAAAATATATATGCAAAACTATTTCATAAATCAGTAAGTTCAGAACTCGGTCTCCACAACCCCAAAGAGGCCAAGGAATCGCTTTGATGATGTCTGTCAAAGGACACATTTCCCCGAAAGAGACGGCTAGAGTGGGCTGCGGGAGTGTGGGAGAGAGACGGCCATAGTGAACTCGGACTCGGCGGGTTGGAGCTCCAATCCCTGGGGAATTCCGAGCTGGGTGGGTGGTTTGGCTAGGCAGGCTGGTTGGGTGGGTGAGCGTCTTCCTGGGGTAGCGGCAAGTGTTGTTGGGGCTGACTCGTAAAGCAGGATTTAAAGGATAACATAAAATAAATCGACTCGTATTTGTGTGTGTGCGGGGCCAAGGGGAGCAGAAGTCGAGTCGGCATTTTATGAATTTATACGCATTTTTTATACGCTCAGGAATGAAAAGATATTGGCCGAAAAGCGATTTCCATAAACCACTCAGAGCCGCAGTCGCACTCGCACTCGCACTCGCAGGATATGAAAGCGCAGATAGGACCAATAATGATAATAAAAAGATGCTCGAGCTGAAGACAAAGCCAAGCCAAGAAAAACAAGGGCGACTTCAAAGGCCGGCAGCCAGGGGACAGTTTGTGTGGACTTTGTTGAGTGGCCATTTTATATTTCGTATTTCGGTTGCTTGGCAGCCCCAAGGGGGGAGAGTGGAGTGTGGGGAGTGTGGAGTGCGGGGAGTGTAGAGTGGAGTGGGCTGAAGGAAAAGCAATATCCTGGCCAATTGATTTTTGATTATGCCCCAACAAATCCGGCAGCGGCGAGAGCGACAAGAGCTGAGAGCGAGGCAATAACCAATCTACAGGATGCCAGGATGCCAGGATGCCAGAATGCTGGCCAGCAAAAATTGTCAACGCAAACGAGCCGAAAAATATTATTGCACTTTCTGGCTTTTGCCAATCAAGCGTTTATTAAGAGATGCTCTCCACCTGTCCTTCGATTTCCATCCGTTGCAACTAGCCCCGCAAATAATATTTGCATTGGGGCTAATCGAATTTTGATTGCATTTCTCTGCAGCTCTCACAACTGCACAACTGCGACGCTTTCCCGCTTCAACTGGCTGATAATTTTGAAATTGGCTTTTCAAGTGCGGCCTGCTGTGCGGCAAAGTGCTTTTCTATGTCGACATCGATGTGGGCACTCTGTGAAACATGCAAATCACGGAAATCACGGGCAAACGTAAAAATCCGACGCAAGTTCGCTCTGATTATCCTTACAGCTGTTAAATCGGCCATTAGGCATAATGTGCAATTAATGTTGCATAACGAACCGCGCAGATATCGTAAACAAGTCGGCAACGAGGGGATCACATAGATGACATACCATTATGGCACGCAACTGCAATCATAAGCTGAGGGTCAGGATGACAGTGGCCCAATAAACAGACAGGTTCATAATAAAAAGGCGCTGCTCCTGCGCCACCCACCCCCTCATAGTAGGATATACATCGAGATACAGAGCCAGATCCAGCCACCCCGGAAGGGCAGGACACCATCCACCAGCCCATAAAATCAAAGCAAATCACTTGTTATCCCATTTGCAGCCGCACTTCCTCCCCCATCCGTGTAATTTGGCCGATACTTAATTCCTGACTTCTGCTTCCATTCGCTCGCCCCTCGTGGCCATTTCTGGATCTACTCCCTGGCTTTTGGGCACTGGGTGCTAATATCTGCGGCCTGCCACAAGAAATTGCCTTTTCATGAACTTGACTCATTTATTATTTGCAACAGTTGCCCTCCCTGTCGCCGCTTTCAGTTGTTTGTTTGCCTTCTGCCTTTTGCCTTTTGCCTTCTGCTGCTGGTGGTGTCTTCTCTGCCTTTGTGACTGCTTTTGTTTGTGTCAGTCGAGAAGTGAAAATTAAAAGTCCAAACATGGAAATGCTTTCGTATGGAACATATGGCTGAAATTTTTATTTGGACCACCACCTTGTTTTGGTTCTCATTTTTTGTGAGTCTGGCGATGCAGTCTGCAGACTAAACTAGGTTTTTTAATCGAAAAGAAAGATAAAAGTTGCTGAGTATTTGCTTTGTAATACAAAGTTTAATGTTTCATAGTAAAAGGTATCTTTTCAAATTTCTAGCCATTTAAAGAAAGCTGCTAGAAAGTCTTTCAAATATTGTCGTATAAATCATTAATGTTGTATTATCATAAAACAATATAGGTTTGATTACCTATCAAAGGTCTCTCAGTAAGCTGGCAAAATATCCAAAATGCATTGCTTTCTCTTTGGAAAATGCCTGCCTAAAAGGCCGTAAAGAAGGCGTATGATTTGAATTTCGACTGGAAGTCAGCCACTCAACGGCTGATAATTTATGCATAAGGGTGAAGCTTAAAAAATTACCGTTAGACACACAATTTAACGCGACATAAGGAGCTATTTTTTATGTTTTGTTTGGGTTACGGTTCAAATTGGGTGCAACTGAAGGAACGCGCCGGCAGAAGGAAGGCGGGAGTAGAAACAAATCATTGGGGAAATACACACACACACACACACACACACAAGCCGGGATTGCCTGGCACACACACCACCAAAAAATGCAAATACATACGAACACTTTTCGGGCAGACATAAAAAATAAATGTTTTGTTTAACCGACATTTTAACGCCTATTTACGTGCCGCGCACGTCATGCACGTTATGCCAATTTAATGGCTCGCAGCCTTAGACCAAAAAAGCAGGCAATGACTTTTGGCTTTCTCTTCCTCTTCCGCCGCGCTCTTCTTCTTCCACCTACTTCCGTTCGCACTCCTTGTATGGGTGGGTGTGTCTGTGCGGTCGAATAGGGAAATGCTCTCACACGAATGTGGCTAGCAAAATAAAACAGCAAGCTAAATTAAATTTACCGAACCCAATAAGCCAGAAGGAGATGGCAACACGGATGGGGGAAGGCGAGAGAGAGAGATAGAGAGAGGGAGAGGGAGAGAGAAGGCGAGAACGGAGGCCAGACAGTCAGACATTGTCTTAAATTATTGAATTAAAAGTTAATGAATAGAGCGACGCATAAGCACGTAAAAAACATAAACAAGTCAAGGTCGCCGGCACAGCCCAACCCCCCGGCATAAATATACAACAATATCTGTGTGTATATACTTGTACACCCCATTATCCCACCCTTTCTCCGTCCATTATCCCTTGCACAATCTGGCACATTAGCGTCCCTGGTGTAACATCCAGAAAACGGGTGATATTCCGACCTGAACAACCTGCGATAGTTCCAGTTCTGTTCGGTTGGGATGCGTACACAGGGAGATAATAGTAGCCAACTCCAAAGCTATATAATTGTGAAAACAATTCAGCAACTCCCCCTTGAAAAATAGGGTGTAAGCTAATTCTCTAAAATCTGGAAGATTCATACTTCCTGCATCCTTTCTCTCCGTAATAAAAATTGGCATGTGTCCACCTAAACTATTTCCTTGCAAGAACTATCCATATATCTGAGGATTTTTTTATCTGTATAAATATTTGAAAGCAACACTTTTATTTTTGAGCTCAGATCGATTATTCCTCTGCCCGCACTGGTTGGGCTTTGGTTTAGGTTCTGGTTCTGCCTGTTGTTGTCCGACATATGACGAACCCACTGGGGACCATCAGGCCATCAGAAGGCCTTACAAGCAAAGTTACTTTGCTCGAAACTTGCCATTTTTCTTTCTGGCTCTTCCAGGCACGACTACTCCCCGCTTTCTCGCTCTTGGCCCGCTGTTTTGGCCGTATTCCTTTGCCATTAGTCTGGCGCACTCAGACAGAAACAGTCGACGCCGACAGTCGGTGACAGCTCAAGATTTGCCACGAAATGCTGGGATTTATAAATACTATATAGCCATATACCTAGGTATATTGGTACATGTGTGTGTGTGTGTCTGAGTGTCAGAAAGTGCCTGTGTGGGTGGTTGGTTGGTTGGTTGTGCATAACGGTTAAGTTGTCAACCCGACTACGAGTGATGTGGATGCGAAAGCCTGATGGCCTGGCAAAATCGTTTCCATGTCACTAGTCATTCACCGGCAGGCACTTTGTTTTTATGTTTTTTAAGCGCAACTCGAAGAAGGCAGCTAAATAAAACGCTACCAATTCCGAAAGCAAAGCATTGGCTGAAAGCTGAGTGCCGTGAGCTGAGAAGACCGTGCAATCTGCACAGCCAGCGGATACAGCGCATAGCCTGCCCCTAAATGTAGGCAACCCTTTTTGGCCCCCACTCCTCGAGCTTAGCTATCCAAGTGTGTGGGTGAGTGGGGGGCTGTGGTGGACTGGGGTGTTGTGGGGTGTGGGGGGCGTGGTGCAAAAGGAGATGTGGGGAGTGCTTGTGTGCTGCCTTGTAAATGTCAAAACCTCAACGTGTCTACCTTGTTCGGCTCCGCTGTTCTTATGCATATGGAAATGCCAATTTGAAGCGGGCACATCCGACACGGGCCTCGACCTCTCCGACCCTAAGACAAAAGCATATCGAAGGTACGGCCAGGACTCGCTGGTCAAAGATGCCAAATTGCCCGGCTGGTGGGTGGGCAGCTACCCATATTGGCCGAGGAATTTACATATCGAATTTATGCACATGGAAATCTGTGTGTGTGCTGTGTCGAGACATGTTTTGACTGTCACGGCGGTAATTGATCTCGATTAAGACCATGTTTGTAGGAGGCAGCAACTTCGGAAGACCCCGAGGGGTTGGGCTGAGCTTGCCCAACATGGAGCCAAAACACGCACACACTCGCAGGGCTGTCAGCGGCTCAAGGATTAGGCCGTGGAAACCCTTAAAGATAAATATGCTACTACCTTTAATCCTTTGGTTTTGGCCCAAATAGAAATATTAGTTTGAGTGCCAGCGATCAAGTAGTTGAAGTAGTAGTATGCACAACGTAGACACAGTTGTTATAGCTCCGTTCGTCTTTATCCTTACAGGTCTGGTTCCAGAACCGCCGGGCCAAGTGGAAGAAGCGCAAGAAGACCACCAACGTGTTCCGCACCCCGGGTGCCCTGCTGCCCTCCCATGGACTTCCGCCGTTTGGGGCCAATATAACCAATATCGCCATGGGCGATGGTCTCTGCGGCACGGGAATGTTTGGCGGAGATCGCTGGAGCGTGGGTGTTAATCCGATGACGGCAGGTGAGTGATCCCAGGGAGCCCTGCTAACTAACAATCCCCTACTAACTGCTGCCATTTCGCCTACTAACTGCTGCTCCTCCGGAAACCAAATGGGCTCAGGCTTTGGCCAGCTGAATCAGTCGTCGCCACTCTCGTCCTCGCTGAACAGCGGCCTAAACTCGGGCATTAACATGGGTTCCGCCTTGGGAGCGGGCAGCTATCAGCACTACGGTCTGAATGCTCTAGGTAGGTTGTGGGCTGGGTGTCAGGCCCCCAAACGAAGCCCCCACCCTGATGATCACATGCCCGAAAATTTTCCATCTGCATGCTGACGACAAAGGCCTAGCGTTGACACTTTTTCGCCTGGCATGATTTTATTTATCGGGGGGCTTTGTTTAGTCGCATATTTGCCTCGAGGGATTTATTTGCTTTGCTTTCGATGCCATCGGGTTCCAATTCCAGTTTCAGTTCCAGTTCTGCCGACAATTGACCAAACACGACGCTGAGTCCGCTGTGTCTCTCATTTCTTTGAACTCATCACACTTTTTTCGGTTTTCGGTTTTCGGTTTACGGTTTTCGGTAGCCCCAAAAACATATGCATATCGTATCATTTATAATGCCCCGAACAGCCTGTTTGCTCGATCAATTAACAGGCAGCCGTTTAATTTTCAGGAATACCCAAAGTCATTTTTTCATCTTCGTTATTTGGTTTCGTATAGTTGTGCTAATTGACATTTTGGAGACATGTTCATGTCGACTTTTTATTTTTCGGCTCTTGCTACCGTCAGCAAAGTTTTCATTGTTACACTTTTTGTTGAGGATTTTACATTTTTTGTGCCCCGCATGGGTGACATCACATAATGACACCAAAAAAGTTGCTATACATACATACATATATGAAGAGATCAACAAGATGTCAAAGTCTTATCAATCAAGTTTTAACAAACCACGTAACTAAGCTTCTTTTTATAAATCAATGTTCCGTTGATATAATTTAAATTTAAGTCGCAGAATTTTGCATCCAATATTTCTTTTCTGATTAACATACATCACCATACCCAAAAGCCTTTCAGTTTTTAAATTCGTATAAGCCAATGACTTAGCTTTTAACTGTGAAATTTCAAAGGCCGCTTATTAATTATGTGTCTCGTAATTTTCCCCGCAGGCGACTCCATGATGTACCAGCACAGTGTGGGCGGGGTCAGTTGTGGGCCCAGTGGTTCGCCGAGCGCCACCACCCCGCCGAACATGAACAGCTGCTCCTCGGTGACCCCGCCGCCACTTTCCGCGCAGCCGAACTCCAGCCAGAACGAGCTGAACGGCGAGCCCATGGTGAGTGCCCCAAATGTATGTTGTGCCCACAACATGTATGAAGCAGTTCACAGATGAATGGGTACAATATTAGTTTAACTAATTTATGACACAGATTTAAAATCAAGTCAAGTGCAAGCGGAAAGAAAACTAACTGGTTTTGTGTCATAAAATGAGTTGTAGTTGAGTTATGTATATTAGCTCAATTTATAATGCGTTCAGCGTTATTACTTCAACAATGATATAACACCAAAAATACCAAATCATCAAAATAGAAAGTTGTTCGAACGCTAAGACTTCAAAAGGCTTTAAATTATAAAACATATTAAGCGTATCAACACAAAATGTTAATCCATTTATGTTATTTAACAGCCGCTGCACCAACAGCAACAACAACAGTCTCACCAACATCAGCAACAGCAAACTCACCAACACCATCCGATGGCGCCACCAACGCCCACACAGCAACAACAGCAGCTACCGCAGTCCATGCAGTCGCCGTCAGATGGCGCCAACGACACACTTCACAGCATCGCAGCGCTGCGGCGGCGGGCGTCGGAACTAAATGCGATTCCCTCCTACCTACAGATGGCGCCACACAACTACGAACACTACAATTCGAATTCGAACTCGGTCTACTGAAATTTGTTGAAAAGCTTCGAAAGCTTTTCGGATTACGGGTGAAAAGCCGACCGTTGGGAATTCAAATTGCGAGGCTGCGCCAGCGACGCGTTATAAGATAACCAAAACTTAGGCCTACGCTTAGGGCATTGTACAATTTATGTGTTTGCATTATTTGTTTCATGATTTCCAGACTAAACTTAAAAGACTATGATGAATGTAAACCATGTATACGAGAAACGAAGCTTGCGAGAGCACTAACGATTTATTCGAAGCTAGGACCTAAGCAAACTATGAAACTACTCCCGCATGAATTGTAGACCTAGAATTAAATTAACATTTGCCGTATACGACAGCTGTATAAACTGGATCGCCGGCGAGGATGGATCGAAAAGTATCCTCGTGGCGTCACAATAATTTTTGGCCAGCCGAATTCCGCGGAACTCGCGCTTAGTTCGTACTTAAGCATAATTACGCCTAATTGTTTAGGAGTGTATGTAAGTAGATCTATTCTCATGTAAGTGTTGTTGTTTTTGTGTATAGACAGTATACTTCCGTTGCTATCTCTCGATCTAACCATACGATACAACCCATAGCATATCGAACGAGCAGCCCCGACTATAGCAAACTGTAACTGACACTGAAACCAGATTAACCAAAATCGCAGCTCAAGTCTCTCATAGCAAAACCGAAAACCGAAGACCGATTCAGAGTGCACGCATCCAATGGATTACTTTTACGATTACCAATTACAAATTATACAATTACAAATACCACTATATATACATGCGTACATGGCATACTTGTAATAGACTTTCTTGTATCGTTTAAGCCTAAATTTAAATCCAACTAAAACAAAAAACAAAACACAATTACTCTGTATGTAATTATGCGTATTATTAAATAGTAAACTAAATTAAATCTGAACGTGGTTTGCATACCAGTGACATGGAGGTCTCGAAATGAAAAACTTGTTCATAAAGTGGCTCACTTCGTGCTCGCATCGAGTGGATTACCAATTGTCTAATGAGTATCTAAACAACTATGGCTTTGATTACTATCACAACAGATAGGTAGATAGATCGATAGATCGACATGGCCACAACATCTAAAATCATACAAACGATAGTAAAAGCAGTCAAAAGTCAATGCCAGTAGGTAAATACCTTATGCATATTTGGATTGCAGCAGTAAATCGGTAGTTACCGACTTCAAATTTGTCCGTTTTCCACTTTCTTGTTGACTGTGCTTATCAAATAACTCTGTCAGATGAGTGTTGAGATTTCGACTGAGAGTTCAGTATTTCCTTATTTTTCATAATTCGGAAATTGTCGGACGAGTGTCCACTTGCCACAAACTCGGGCTCGTTGTGCCCCCTGAACCCTTGCAGATGCAATTACAATAATTGAATAGGATTGGGGCGACAGGCAGATGCTCAAATGTCAAACAAGTTTAAGCTGAAAATTGCCAAAATTTATAAAACTTTGACAGTGTGCACACACACGCCCACGCTGATAAGAGTCTGCTTTACGAGAGTGTGTGTCCTGGGGCCAGGCCCATTTCCATTCGCAGTGACTCCCACTGATTGGGGTCGAAATGGGGCAGGAGTGCAGGTCGCAACTCGACCCGACTGCATCCATGGGCTTATAAATTTTATAATGCTCCCTGACATTTGACATGCACATTGTCACGACAATTGGCCTGTGGAGTCTGCACCACCAGTACTAGTAGCAGTAGCATTGGCATTGCCAACCCATCGCCAGTGCCCAGTGCCCAGTTGCCATAGCCCGTAACCCGTAAGCAGAAGCGGAATCGAACACCGGAATCCTAAACCCACAGGCTCTCCAGCTGGGCAGGCAGCTTAATCACACTGATGGCACTGTTACGGAATATGTTCGGGTATGTATATTTGATGCCAAAGCGCACATAAACAATTTAATAAAATAGAAAAAACACTGAGCCATGTCGGTGGGCATGGGATATGAACTAATATTAAGTATTAGAAGCTGGGCTTTTTAATATAATATTTTATACTGCAGAGCACATAACTAATATTACATTTTTGTGCATTGTAATTGCATGCAATGGATAGCTTCAAGGTGCATTCTTACCCAAGGTTTGCTATTGATATATTGCTACTTTATTGAACACTATAGCCGCCCTACTGGCGATATTTTCTCAGAGTGCACCACTGGCGAAAGACGGTTTCATATTCTGATGTGAAAGGTGGAGAGGAAGTCGGGCGCCCGGAGTATGACGTGCTCGAACTCCAAAATTGATAACTTGCCATCGCCATCGACGTCGGCCTCCTCGATTACCTTGTCGGCAATCTGCTGGTGCTCCTCCGGACTCAGCTCGTTCTTGGTCATTGTTGTCAGGCAGGACATGAGGTCGGCGTGCCCGATGAAGCCGTCCTGATCGAAATCTGCAAAGTTATGCCAGACGTATAGTAAGTACACACACAAGTGCCCGGAGTGGGTGAACTGGGAGGTTGGGCAAAAGGATGGCTCACAAAACTTGACATTTTCTTGCACAAAAGTCAAGTGATGTGTGCCAAACTGAGTTTGCCCAACAGTCAGCCACGTCGGCTGGAGCTCCTTCTGCCCCACAGGTAATCGCCTGCTGCACGTTTCAATTTGTGTCAATCTAATAACGCACATTGAAATAAAGTGCAGCCTAGCTGGCTCACCGCTCACCATAACTTGAGTTTCGCAACTAGTTTGCAGTTGCACTCGACCTAAGAGATACTTTGCATCCTATTGACTATTGCCGACTTTGGCCCATTAATTTCGTGTGTCAAGTGCACAATCAATTTGCACGAAACTTTTGCTCCATTTATGGTGGCATTTTTCGGGATTCTAATTTAAATTTCAATTAAAATGCTTATTAGAATTTATGGCTGTACTTGAACTTTGGCCCCCCAGCAGCAACAATAGCTGCTGCCTGGAACGGCGCCACAAATTGCACGACCGCGAGTCACCACGAGTTGTGTGCCACGTTTGGCGGCCATGGCCATCTTCCACATGCTCCCCTCCTTCATTTCGGCCATAGTAAAGGCCAAATGCAAAGAGGGCCCACACACACACACACGCACACAACGAGGGCAAGTTCGCCAAAGGCAATAAACACGGGCTGCGGAAATGCATAAACAAAGGCTCAAAATGCTGGCCACCAGCTGCAGCTGCAATTAAGATGGAGTTCAGTGATGGCAGTACTTCAGTACTTGAGAGCCAGTCTTAAAGAGAACCAAGTCTTAAAAGAAAGTCTTAGTTTTTTGTATATATGTGAAGATTCCATTTTCGTTGCTAGTTCGTTAATAAAAATATTGAGCCTAGAACGTTTAACTAGTCGTATACGTAATGTCTAGGCAACTAGACTGTTATATTTCGAAATCCCGTGCTGATAGTTTAAATAGCTTAGTTTATAAGGCAGCAAGCATTGTCTCTTACCATCACTGACCACAACAACTGAACGTGTGGCCAACGCGAACTTACCATAAATTTTGAAAGCGTAGAAAACTTTAATGTCCCTCGGCGCCTGCTCGCTGAAAACGGAGAGGGCGTCCAGAAAGTCCTCAAAGGATAAATTGCCCTGGCCATCGCGTGAGAAGGCCTCGCCTGCAAAAAGTGGAAAATTGCTGTAGTCCGGTTTTGGCCGGGTTTTGGCATGGGATTGCTGGGCTTTGCTTATGCAGCCATTGGCCATTGTTACGCACATATTCTCCGGCGAAAGGGATTCTCACGCAACTCGGGCATCTTCTCAATGCATTCGCAGGGCACCTTAACACTCGAGGCCTGACCTTCGGTCATCTGGCGAGGCACCAGATCCGGCCGCAGCTCTCGGAATCGCTTGTGAACCCTGTAAGGAAAGCAGACACAAGGATAAAGGACTATCTGCGCGGACCGAAGCCGGGGATACCCTGTCCAGTTGGGCCTGTCTCGCGCAGCAACAACTCAAACTAATTGAAAAGCAATATTTCAGTATCCGGCGGTTTTCATAAAATCCCTTTGAGTAAGCTCAGCTTATTGTGTGCCTATATGAATGCTGAATACCTTTTCGTTCAGAAGCTTCTTTCATCGAACTTGGACACGTTATATCAAATGTATATTCATTTATATTAATGCACTGCTTTGGTCAGTTAATGATTTTAATCAGAGTTTACTATAATGATATTTGGTTTCAAAAGTAGGGCCACTCGCGCGAGGCAGCTGGTCAATAATGTGGATATACTGGCCAAAGTGGTAATCCTGGGAAAGGGTATGGAATGTGATGTGTTGGCGGGGTCAAAGGGCGGGGAGATGATGGGCTTTGTGTCCTGAGTGTCTGTCCGTGGGCTGCCGCATGTGTGTTTTCTTGTGTTTCCCGCTTTTTGTTGCCACCGAGAGGCAAACAATGGGAGGCTGCAAACAATGGTGCTTTGTCTGCCGCCATATGAAATGGAATAGTTTTGTCTTATTAAGGGAATACAAATGGCCTACCGCAGGATCTCCTTGCGCGTGAAGAACGTGCAATCCTTTCCGATTTGCGGAGCGGCAATGCATGAAGAGAAATTAGCTCTGGGTTCACTTCATCTGATTGATCGCTCACCTGGTAGTCATCCAATTCCTGCTCCGTAAATGTCACAACTTTGTTGCCCATCGTTACTCGCCAGCCAGTTGGGTTCGGTTCGTTCGTGCTCTGGCTTGAATCCGCTTGGATTGGTTTGCTTTTTTGCGTAGCTGCCGGCCAAACCGGTTAGTCCCAAGCGTGAATGGCAACTGACACTGCCGCCGACTGTGACCCAACTCCCAGCGCCATAACTTTGCATAGCACCACGGCTCCACGACTTGGTACACATCCTGCGGCGCCTGACCAGAGTATGGCGCCCGCATTCGCATGGAAATTAATTAAGGAGTGTTCAGGACCGCCACTCCCACCTTACTTCCCACTCCCCCATCGGGCCCATAACTACACAGTTACCATGTAGCTTTCGCAGGCCAGCGCCGTGTATCCTGCGGTTTTTTGCCCCTCCTGCTCTTTTGAGCTGTCAAGCTGCGGCAAAAGCCGTTTTTAGAGGTGCGCCCCAGTGAGGTCCGTGGAAAAATACGGAAAAACTAAGCCAACTCTACCGCTCTAACGAATGGAAAGTACCTGCTAATCCCTGATCACTATAACTAGTAACTAGTAATACTCGAATTATTGCTTGCTGTGTAACTGTATCACACTAAGATATGCTTAGAAATTAAATCGATTTTCTACACGTTTTAGGTCACAAGGCATGCAGAAAAGTTAATCGATTGCTTCAAATCTTTGAAGTCATCAGTAAAACCTCGGATTTGGCTCCGACTTTGGCCAATTAAGCAGATTTAAGCCAGCAACATGTCAGATTCCAGTCGAAATGTCTGACAGTTTACACTTTAAGCGGCTAATAGCCAAACCCTTTGCCTTTCAGCTGCAAACACTCGCACGAAGTCAACATACCATTCAACATACCCATACCATTCGAAAGAACTGCCAAAGCTGCAACGCAAAAAAGCAGCTAAATTTGTATTGAAGAGGAAACTGTAGCACAGTTTTCTGAGCTACACAGTCGACGCGTGCTGCTTTTAGTTGGGTGTAAAGTTTATTAATTAATTTAATGCTCGACGGCACTTTTCAATTTCACGTGTCTGCGCTATGAATTTATGAAAGTGACTGTCGGGCTTGGGATCCAAATCCAGGACGCAGAGCTTGGTTAGAAAGTGATGACCCAGCAGGGAGACGCACCAAGGCTGCAGTGCCGCATCCCAGCTAGAGATTGGGAATTTGATTAGCAACGAGAGCAGCGGGAATGCGGCATTGTGCGGATCGTACTACTTACCTCTGGTCAGCCGGGCAATCGGTTTCGCATTTGATTTCGATTTCCTGAAACGTCAACATAATCGAGCAATCCAGCGCCGTAGCTCCGACCATATAAGCCTGCTCCTCATCCGGCTCGAGTTCCGCCTCCACTCCGTCCTCGACTGCGGCCAAGAGACCCCGGAGCGAGTTGTAAGTGGGTCGGGAGTGGTCGGCGTAGCCGGACTGCCACATGAAGTCGAAGTGGCGCTGCAATTGCCAAGAATCGTTACTCGCACTGCACAAAGCCACTTGGCCGCCATCCATTGCCCATTTAGCCGCCACTTCGACCGAACTTACAGCTTCCTGCCCACCTGGGCATTTGGAAAAAATGAAGTCGAGGAACGAAGTTCAGGTCTCTGGCCCAGATGCTTGGATACTCTACCTAACAGATACGCCTTAAGTATATTGTTATGCTACCAAGTAGCTTGTGCCTAGTAACGCACTGATTACAAAGTAGTTTAAATATACAAGATACAAGATATTTCCAATAGTCTGAACAAGCAGTCTGCTTAAAGCGTTGGAGCAAAGTGCTCCACCTGTTAGGGCATCAGAAACCAACTCGATCCATCTGCAAATGCCAAGGTTCTCCGGGGGCAGGAAAAATAAACAAAGCCAAACGGACAAAGACTGAGGAGTGGAGGCAGCAGTTTGATTGGTTGGCTTACCTTTACCAGCAATTGCAAATTCAAAATTTTTTGCAGCACACAATTTTTTGGTAAGCGAAATATTTCCGCTTTGTTGTCTTGTGCTTGAGTTTGATTCGCAGGCTCATTCCGATTCAGTTTTTGGCATTCATTCTGATTCACGTTGCGACTTGTCGTACTAGCAGCCTCAGCCCGAGTTTCCGGTTCCGTTTTTGTTTCCGTTCGAGCTGCAGTTGCCATTGCCATTGCCGTTGCCAACACATTGCCGGACAGTTGGCTGCCCGATGCTGCCCCTGCCACCGAGGTGGCTGCCGGTCCAGTTATTGTTGTTTCCATTCTGGCCACTTTTGTGTACCTTTGGGTCGTGGCAGTTGCAGCAGCTGCTCTTGTCCTCGTCGAAAATTGAGCGGCAGTGACAACAGGGGCGGCCGCCCTGCCTCCGCGTGGCAGGACAACATTAGCGGCGCCAATTCCAGCAGCTCCAACCTTTGTCTCCTTCGCCGCAATCGAAACGCGACTCTGATTCAGCTGCTCCTGCTCCTGCTCCGGCTCCGGCTCCGGCTGCTTCTGGCTCTGATTGGAGCTCTCTGCTCGTTTGGATTCCGGATCCTGCACGGAGAAAAATCGAAGCATAAACATAAGCTCCTTATTTCAACTTTAATGATAGCATATTGTTTGTTCACTTTCAAAGGAAAATAACAGCTCTATTATTGAACCAGCACTCAGAACAATAAATGCACAGCAATGTTATCATTAATACGGCTACATTTAACAATTAAGAGTGGTTCTATTAAGTATTCTAAGCGAATATTTAGGAAGGTACAATTTAGTTTATATTTATTCATTTAAGTCTGCGCTGAACAGCATTCGTATGATATATTTTACTGAAACTAAGGCTATTTTTCCAGTGCCCCTTACCTCGTATTCCCTTAGCAGGCAGGCCACCAGCAAATGTTTTATAAGCACCATAATTTCACTGGAGAATTTCAGAGATTTTATGGCCATGGCGATGGCGATGGCGATGGCGATGGCGATGGCGATGGCGTTGGCGTTGGCATTGGTTGAATTTTGTTTGTTAGCGTTTTCAATGCGCATTCCCATTTCGTGTGGTCGTTGTCGGCGTTGTCAACGTGGCGCCACAAGGTGTTGAAGCGACACGGCCACGGAAAAACATAGTGAGAGAGGTGGTGTTGAGGAAAAGTTGAAAACCAGGTGGATCGACCTGTGGGCTGGCGGACAGAGAGGGGGCTGGGGAGGCTGCAGCCCGGAAAATGGCGATGTTGGCATTTGGCACTCGAGAATTTGTGTTTGGCTGTTGCTTCTTGCATTATTTATTGAATATTTGCGTGTGGCCGAATGGTTCACAGTTTTCTTCCGCTGCTCATGAAAATTAATGTCCAAAAAGGAGTGTCTCGAATAGAAAGTAATTATAAGAGCCTTTTGAATGGCTCAAAATGGCGTACAATTTGGCGCAAACGAATTGAATTCAAGAGAAATGAAAGCCAGACACATATTCCCTCTGGCCATCTAAGAAATCGCAGGAATCATCATCCCAAGCGAGACTAGGCCACATCTGTATCTTATTTTCGGTGCAGGCAATTCGATTTTATTGAAAAGCGCAACTGACTTACCCGGGAAAGACACGCGAGCTCAATTCATCGAAGGAAATCGAATTCGCGTGATCGCCATAAATTAAATTGCTGTTCTGAAACACACGTAAATTATTTTGCGGGCAGGCGAGAAGTGCATCCAAGGCATCGAGCATACGACTGGGTGTACTAAAAGCAGGGAAAATAACCAATGAAAATACATCAGCGGACATGACTCTGGTACAGTAAGGTTAATAGCTATAAGGCATACGAGAGGTACAGGTAAATCTGGGCAAAACGATTTAAGTTTTAAGCGATCAAGGTTGCTCTGACTAAAAAAATGTCATCTTAAGTTAAGCATCAACAACATTAACAGCATTAGTAAGCTTAAACATCGCTCTCAGCTGAGCAGGCCATCCAGTTTCGTCGCGTGCTGTACCTCTGAATATTACTTTTAAAACTGATGTATATGCATATGGAATATATGGAAGATGTTGCGCCCGAAACAAAGGCAAGCGAATTGGCAACAATTTTCGAGGGGTCACGGGGCAAGGAGGCCGCCAGATCCATAAAATCCGGGACGGAGTCCACGGCGGACGCGGAGTAAAGCGGTAAACCGGAATGAAAGCGCAAGCAAATTGAATTTTGTGCACGGATGCACGCATGACTTGAAACAGCGGGCCGCAAATAAACGAATGAGTGGGGCGCGGACTGGAGCTGGGATTGCAATTGAAGTGGACCCAGGAACGTCCGGAGCATTCAGTGTCCAAAAGGATACAAGAAAGAACAATGAAAAAGAGAGAAAAAAAACCTGGGCACTAAAGCAGAAGGAGTGGCAAACAGTAACCGAAAGTGTTGGAATTATGAAGCACGACAGGACACGCAAATGGAGCAGATTGAAATTTATGACTCGATGTTCGTGCCAAAGGAGCAGCCTTCAGCTGCCTGTTCATTGTGCCCAGCACGGTGGGTTCCTGGTTCCTGGTGGCTGGTGGTTGGTGGCTGGGTTCGCTGACATACCCAGAGAATAGATCCAGCGGACAGTAGTGGCCCAAACGTTTGATTTTCCCATTGTGCAGCTGTCGAAGGTAGCGAATGAGTAACTTAGAAGACCTATGTACTGGCCCACCCGCCCACTCACTCACCTTCAGCAGTTGCATGCTGCAAAAGCGACACCAGCACTTGTCCTTCTCCGCCTGATTGTGGGGCGTGTCCTTTGGCTTTGTCGCTGCCCCCGATGGCATTAAATCAAATAAATCGTTGACATCACTTGCCAACTGGAGCCAGCCTTGTTTGGGTTTTATTTCGATGGCATATGTATCGCCCAGACGACGGACAGCGCTCCTGTTTCTCGTGCTTCCCTCTCCTCCCGCTGCTGCTCCGGTTTCATCTCCTGTTTTGCCCTTTGCCTGCAAAATTATATCGTTTCGCTTATTTGCTCTTGCCTCTTTGCCACGTTCCCCTGATCCCGATCCCGATGCCGAGCCCGATCCCCACCCCGACGAAATGGAGTAAAAGGAAGGTGCCGGCATGTCCTGCCATGAAATATTATGCCTGCCGTGTACCGCGAACTTTTGCCCCGTCGTTGATGCCATTTTGACTTGAAAATGCAGCGACGAGCGCAGCACGAACAAAAAAAGGGAAAAAAGCAGGGAAGCAACCATCATGAATAAAGCTACCACGGTTTCGCACGGGTTGGGATCGGGGTCCTTGGCCAGGTTATCGCTGCTCCTGCTCCAACTCCTGCTCCTGTTACTGCTCTTGTTGCTGTTGCTGCTGCTGTTGTGACATAAAACAAAAGTTGTTGCGCTGATTGTATGATGAGTTATGAAGCCGACGGCCGGCACGGCACAGACGGAGTTCTCCATTCGCGCTTCCCAACTTGAAATTGAAAATTAACATTTAAAGCCGCAATTAAAGGTTTTTTCCAGCGCTTACCTTTTTCACCTTATTTTCAGCCGCCCGCAATGCGCTGTGTGCGATGGAACACACAATATGGCCTTAGTTATGGCCACGTTTTATATACATATGTACCACTTTCTATGGCCTCTTTTTTTAGCTGCCCCTGCTCCACTGGCTGTTTGTTTCCTTTGCTGGCAATTTTATTTCGGTCAATGCTTTGGCACCAAAGCCATAAATTCAATATGTACCCACCGAGCACGGCGAACAAATAGCCAAAAAATTGCAAAAAAATAAGCCATGCCGGCCGGCAGATGATCGAACCGGGCAGTACCCTAAAGTCCTATTAGGGGTGAGCAACCGACCACCACGTGTGCCCCCTACTAGCTAAGCTACCCGATGTAACATGGGGCATATAATAAAACTTGCAGCTATGGCGGCACTTTCAAAGCAATTTCGGCATCTTTTATAACCGCACAAGCCCAAAAACTCAAAACCCAGAACCCAGAACCCAAACGAATCGAAACGAAACGAATCGAATTGGCCAGTGGCTATTGGATGGAGCGCGGTCGCAAGTAACGCCAACAAAGTGTTTACACTGTTGCCCACTTTAATTCAAAACAAAGAACCGCTGATTTATGGGCCTCGACCAGGGTTTAGCTACGAATTTGGATGGCGATGGAGGTGGCACTCGTGGGTTTGTTAGCCTCCGATGCCTCGGCACAAAGGCAAACTACGTCGCAGCAGGAGCAGTGGAACGCGGCAGCTTTGGCTAACGTGTCCAGCACATATGGCCAAAAATGCCAATATTGTCCTTGTACAAAATACACAATTTATTTGGACAGCAGCAGGAGCAGGAGCAGCCACACGACTCCCCCCGAAAACAGCAGCCTCAGCATTCCGTTGCCAGGGGAAAGGAGCAGGAGCAGCAGGAGCATGAACAGGATCTATATCAAGAGCTGGAGCAGCTGACGACGACCAACTCACCTGTAAATGGGCAAGTAAAACATCGAACGTGGCAGGCAATTGGGTCACATCTGGCAGCAGCAGGCCGAATGGCCCCACAAATTCCTTATCCAGACGCGAAACTGCAACGGGTTGGAAAACACAGACGGAGGAGTGAAAGGCGGAAAAGTCCGAAAAATTGGGGCATGGGACGGCCATAGCCGAATGAATGTAAAGTGCAAGCGCCAGCATCCGGCGATTATTGATATATAGACGCCGATGGTGGTGGGTTAGAATACGAAGGTGAATGATAAATCGCTGGCCAGCTCTGCAGCTTTGCAGCAGGCAGCCTGTTGCTGGCTGCCGGGCATAAACCCGATTTTGATATATGGCCACGACTACGGCGTCCGCCACTAATCAGTCCCATGTGGACGGGCTGGTGCGCCACCAACTGCAACTGAAACTGAAACTGAAACTAAAACTGGAGCAAAGGATCCCTCAATCCACCGTGAGCGTCAGTGAAAGGAACTGGCAGTGGGGATGTGGGATGCGGCACTAAAACGCTCGTTTATGATTGATTGCAGTGGCTCTAAAAGGCTTTGGATGGCGGCCAGGATGAAAAGGGCGGCTGCAGCGCAAATGCAATGGCAAAGGCCAAAGGGAGGCACTGCAGCAAAAGCTGCTCAGATACAAAATTGCTACCACAGCGGTACGGCGCTCATGCAAAATGCCACAGTGGAGATCCGCTTGGAAACGCTCCATTTGTGAATACTTTTTCGGTTTACCAAACCCTATATCTGCACTGAAAGTAAATAGTAATGATTTGGGATCGCGAATAAGTACATCACAATGTAATCATCTTGGATGGAAAACTATTCAGCTTGTAATTTTTTTACAAATTTAATAAAATGAGCATGTTAATGCTGCAGTGTTTAAGTCAACAAGTGCATTAGCTCGAGATGCCATGGAAAAATGAAGATAGTACTTTTTGCACAGTGCACTTACCCGGTCTTTGGTCGCGTATGTGCTCATTTATCCAGAATCTATCGTCTTCCTTTGGTATGGCAACAATATCCGCTCCGCAGACAAACTCATTTCCTAATAGACGGCGCATTATCCCGATATAAGCCATAAAATCCGGCATTGTCAAGTCGCCAGCTGCAGATTGAGTCGGAGGTGGAGGCGAGGAACCAGCCGGAGCACGAGGCAACATGGGAAGAGAGATGTGGATAAATGAAATAAACACATTTGATGCAATGGCCAAAAGATGCATAGAGATAGAGAGATACCCAAAAGGGCAAAGGGCAACGGAAAAGGAAGTGGGTGGCGGTTGGCGGTGGGTCTAAGTCCAGCCAGGCAGGCAATAACCGGAGCACAATGCTCAAAGTGGCCAGGAGATGGAGCGGCAGCTTGTCTGGGTGTTTGAAGTTGCACGCAACCATTTCCGGTCCAACAAAAAAGGAAAGCTAACAATAACAGGCTGGCCCTGGCACTTGGAGAAATATATGATTAACTTGGGAATTCTTTATGTTTTTCGCGCATGTGACTAGAGGAGAGTTATTGAATTCAGTTGCAATTTAACAGCACATATTGTTTAAAGTGAGTATACCCAATACACGAACTAAGTTCGAACACGAGGGTTCCATTTTTACTGCTCGTGTATACGAACCTCTTTCAGTCCCAGCTTTTTCCGATGCGACACGCTGCCCTTCCGGCCGGGCAACCTCATCCGCCAGCTCAGGCCGCTGGTGCACCGCCTGGCGCAGTCTGCTGGATATCATTTTTGGCAAACGTAAAACTTTTTTAAATTGCGGCAGGGCGAGCACCAAATTTGCATTACCCTCCGCCCGATAGATCAACTCAATTTGGCGCAGTTCCATCGCCGCGGGCAGATCCAGCAGGGCGTGCAGATTCTTGGCCATCCACTGTGGCTGTAGCTTCAGTTTTTGCCCCACTCCCGGGGAGCGGGGCCGTCGTTGGGCTGCCATGGCCTGTGCGCGGGTGTTTTTGGTTCGTTGTCGTTGTCAAAATGCAACTGGCGCCGTCAGAGAGCGCCTTCTCCTCCAAACTCCAAGCTCCGACCTCTGAGCCCTGCGCCCTGACCCCTTCTGTTCGGTCTGCTCGGTCTGCGGCGCGCCAGTGTTGATGATTGCCGATTGTGGCTTGTTGTGGTCGAGTCCTGCGGCTTTGCGATTGTTATTGTTTCTGTTTCTGCGGCTGCCGCTCCTTGCTCCACCGCCCCTCCTCGCTATGTGTCCTGTCGTGGGCGCATTGATGCACATTTATTGGCCGGCGATAAGACGCAGCAGCCGGGAAGTCGTCGCCGGTTTAAAAGTCAGGTCGCCGAGCGCTGATAAAATACGTAAAGTGCACGTTTAAAGCTTTTTCAGGGAAATGTAGAGAAAATGCGCAGGGAATACATGTTGCAATTTAACACCTAAAAAGCAGAGATATGAAGGTAAATAAGTAAAGTGCTTTCTAAATAAGCTAACCTACTTACAATTCTTTGAGGTCCTGCGAAGTCCTTTTGCATTTCTTGTGTAAAAGTCCTTACAGGACAATATATGTTGCATCAGCTACGGATATTTCCTTAAATATTTAAGACCACATTTGTTCTTTTGTGAATGTTATATTTACTTAATGTGAATGACTCTCAAAGGATCATTTAAAGAATGCTCCTTATTCTTGAAACCATGTTCACTTTTAATATACTATTCCACTGCCTTTTATAAATAAATACCATATGTCGACTTGCTTCTTTGCTGCTAAAAGTACACCCCTATTTATATTAAGCTGCTGAAATTCTTCACAATTGTGCACATTGTATGCCGGCTTTTAAACTAAAATATATTTGTGTTTCTTAAACAGCTGATCAGCTGAGATCATTTTCAGTGTGTGCACAGCAGAACAGGCCAGCAATAAGGGCCAGCAATCTAGTATATTTGCCCAGTGTGACCCCTTCCCACTGAGTGCGCGCACTTTTCAAATTGATGTGCTCAACAATAAATGTAGCATTTCTGTTTTAAAACATTTTTATTTCCTTAATCAATAATTTGAGTTTGATTTCAGTTTTTGCGAATATACTGCGTGCGATCAGTTTGAATCAACGTATGTCCGCCAGCATTAATGACTTGGGTGCCTAATACAATTAAATTGCTGATAAGTGAAAAACGATTTAAAAGATTGCTTTTAAATGCACTCACCAGCCTCCGCCGTTGCCAAAGCCGCAATCAGCGCGAAGAAAAAGCCGCAGATCTTCAGACAGTTCATGTTTACGGAGTGGATTCAGGTTCTACTTTGATTAGCGATCCGGGGAGGCCGTGCTTATATAGCCCCATCCGCTGCACTGAGCGCCAGCTGTGGCTTGTAAAGTAGGAATTTCCAAAGGGGTAACAAATTCCCCAGGGTCACGATCGGAAATTGAGCGCGCTCTGAGCTGATAATGCGCGTGTAGCTGGTACGAGGGAATACTACTAAGTGCACTGTCTCGAGATAAAGGTGTAAATTTAGATTTAGATTGGGCTGATGTGTACTTTTCAGCCGTAGCATAAAGATCACAGAGCATCTTTTCTTAGTACCCTAGCAAAAACTATGATTTCTTACTTCAAATGAATAAATAGTTGCATGCAAATGGTTTTTCCTATATAGATTTTTGATAACTTGATACATTTGAAAATGATTATTAATGTACTTTTCCATGTGCGAATGCAATAAAATTTGTAATAAAAGGTAATCAGTTAGATTTCTTGGAAAACACATTAATATCACTGAAAATAGGGAATCACTAATCGAAGTCTAATGTAAAGCAAATTGATCCTGACCTTCCACAACGACTAAGAAGTCGATGCCAAATGCTACTATGAATCAAAGACGTACAACTGTGCGGAAAACCACATCTAATACAATTTGTCTCTTTTATATCTTTTCATTGTTGAAGATATAAAAACGACGAGTTCCGAGTAAAAAGCATTAACGACCTTTTCCAGGAGAAACTCCTCATAGAGGGTATGGTAAACAAATCAAACTGGATTGCATACTGCGCTGTTCGCGCCCAGTTCCAGTTATTCTAATAGTTGAGTGTCATTTATTGAATTGCGTAGAAAACCCCGACAGGTTTTCAGGTTTTCGCTTCACATGAATCGCATTGCATGAACGACGTTGCAAACGACGAACAAATGAATCTCTGATTGACGAGCGAAGAGATTAAGACGATCTTTTAACCCGTGCAATCCCCCAGCGTGGAATCGCCCAGATCTCTGCCCAATCGATCCGCTATAAAAGAGCTCCGGCACTTTGGTGGGGCATCAGTAACCCAGTCTACCCAGTACTACCAAGCTGACCAGCAACCTCCACACCTCAGGAATCAACATGAAGTTCTTCCAAGCCGCCGCCCTTCTCTTGGCCATGTTCGCTGCCCTGGCCAACGCTGAGCCCGTTCCCCAGCGTAAGTGTTGAATTGCAACCCATTATAGATTAAAGCCATATTAATTAATTCAATGTAATACAGCTGGAACCGTGCTCATCCAGACCGACAACACCCAGTACATCCGCACTGGCTAGGATTGGAGAACTATGTTGCACATTCGCCTACCCATTTGGACTTTTGAATAAAAACTAAATTACCTGAACTTGATTTTATTATTTACTACTAAATTAATATGGCCGATGATGTGGGAGTGAAGAAGGAATGCATTAAAGTAATAATACATTTCGTTGATATAAAATGTGGAAAATTCTAATGAGACTATTGGTAATGAGCACAAATTTCGTCATCAAAAGAGTAATAATAATAATATTTAAAAGTCAAGTTATAATTTTGATGCATGCTTAATCAGCTTTTATAATCAAATGTAAGGCATTTTTATTTTAAGGCTTAAAAAGTTATAAAAAAAACAACAAAATTTGGAAAAACAAGAATCCCTTGAGTTGATACTAGTTATAAAACACTACTCTTTCCCTTTGCAACGTTTTTTAAAAACGGATATTAAAAGCCTGCTGGTACAAAATTCGTTAAAAAAGCACGTGTAAAAACAGGTATTTAAAGAGTGTTTGAACTCTCCGATTGGCTTTCGTAAACAAGTCTAGTGAGTGTTTGCCACGTGCCAATTACTGGTAATTATCGTAAAACAAACAAACTGTGAGCTCTTCTTGATTTTTTCCAGAACACCAGCAGAGTCTGATTGACATCGAATCTGCTCTTGTTGCAAATTCACACTCATCGCTTTCATGCAGTCATGTGCAACTGGTAGTATGCGTCCAACTTGTTATTTGTATCTAAATGGAAATTGTTTGCAACTTGTTTTAATTGCTTGACTTGCAAACTGCTGACGGCTAAGCGGCCAAGATGGGCAGAACTGGGCTGAATGGATGGCTGGATTTGCGATTTGAGCTGCAGCGCCAGCCACTCGAGAGCAACAGTTCATATTTATTTAAACAAATATATATATATACACATAGACATGGTTAAGTGCACGATGGCTGGCGCAACTTGAAACAATTTGCCAAGCGAAAACTATTTGGTTGTCCTGTTGCAGCCACTGAAACCGCTCCTTTTGCTGGCCTATTGCTATGCTTTGTGCCACGCCCACCAGCAACGCCGCCTCTATATGGTTCGTTACATCAACAATTATTTTAAACTTTCGCCGCAAGTATTTCCTTAGCTGGTTTTACGCCTGAAATAAATCGTAATAGGAGTTGCCAGTTGAAAATGTCTGCCGGCGACAAGGTACGAGTATATACATTTATATTCCTGCCGCCAGGACCTCTGTGGCCCAAGCTAATCCTTTTGATATTCGTGCGAAGGAATTCCTGGCTACGCAGGAACAATTTGCGCCGCTTTTGAAGTAGCCAACTATGCTGCCCTTCTAGTTCAGTGGGGCTACTTTTGCGGTGGAAGTGGGTGATGTTGGCCAAGTCAATAAGCGAGTCCCTCCATCCTCCAGCCTCCAGATTCCCAACTCACCCCATCCCATCCCACACCCAAATACGGAATTTTGCGATTCGCTTTTGGGCCAAATCGTTCAGTTTCAGGTTGCCCCGCTAACCATTCAAAGTGAGCTTTAGCGCAACTTTTAGCCAATCAGTATTTGATTCCCTCCTTTTGGCCAGCGGGCGTTTATTGAAAATTAATTTCGACAATTTTCGCAACTGTTTTAGCAATTGCAGCTGCGAGGCAAACTCCGATTCTTCTTTCCCAGCCCGAAACGAAATGAACAAATTCCCCAGTTTGGCTCGTCCTGCCCAGGATTCTCCCCCTGCACTTTGACTATTTGCCTGGCTGCACCTGCAGACAGTCGGTCAACAGGGCAACTAGCTGGCCAGAATCCGGCTCAAACTCAAAGGCAGATGCACTGGCTGACTGCTCATGGGGTGCGAATCACGAACCGAATTGCTTAACTGCTCCTCGAGGAGAAAGGACTCTCGAGCTCACCGCATTTCCATGCACGTCGCACGGCGCTAAAGTTTAATCTTGGAAAGGTAATGCATGAAAAATCAGGTGCTTTATTGGCAACTGGACGAAAAAGTTGACTCTTATCTTCAGTCTGCGTAACGAATTTTAAATTTAGGACCTTCAGTTGACAACACACATATATTTGCACCAAGAAACCCTTTGCCTAATATTGCCGTTTAAAAGTGGTTGAAAGTAGTAGTAGTGATGGTTGTGATATAGTTTTTACAAACATATTCAATCGCTCAGATATTAAGGTAGACTTTACGACTGCCCAGGGGCTGTTCCTGACGACCATTGCTGCAGTTCCTGCTGCCATCCTTTCCGTACATCACCTTAAACTGGGCCAACTGACGCGAGCTGACCATGGATATGTCCGGGTTGATCAGCCAGGTGGTGGGCAGAGCGACGTCTCCATTGTCGTAGGTGCCGTGGTAGGAGTAGTGACCAGCTCCGAATGGCCGAAGTAGTGACGCCAAATGGAAGGGTGGGAGTTCAATCGAAGAGCCTGGCTGCAGGATCCACCTGAGCTGATCAGAGATCTCGTTGAGCGGCTCGTTCTTGACGGAACTCAGCGCAAATAAGTAGGACAAGGTGAGGTATTCCAAATTGCCCTTGAGCTGGTTGCAACGATGAAGGGCCTGTATCTCCAGGCTAAATTGCTGCTTGCCAATCGAGTGCTCGGATTTCAGGCTGCCCCACTTGAAGATCGCCTCCACGAAGTGGTATCTACCCAGCAACTCAGCTCCACTGAGCTGGGGCATAGAGTTGGTCGCCGTGTATATCCGCATGACCACAGTGCTTCCGTTGTTTTCCAGTACGGTCGCCATTGGAAGATCCTCGTAGTGCGTCCATTCCAAGGGATGCCTTATTTGCCGTTTGATCACCGTGTTCCTTGGTATATCAATTGGCGACGGCTGTTGGTCCAGCCTGGATTTAAGTCTCCTGTTGGCCACTGTGTTGACCACATCCCGAAAGATAGTTCTTCCCGAATGAACATTCAGAATGAAGGCCACGGCCATCGTGCAGCTGACCAGCATCATGATGGTCCTCGAATCCTCCGCCAGCTGCATTACCAAGGCAAAAGCTCTGATGAACGTCAGCCAAACGAAGTCAATCATTGGTACCAACATTATGCAGGTGTGACAAGTTAATTGAAAATGTCAGTCAGGACGTGAAAGTGGATAACTGTGGGATAAATCTGTGGTCTATATTCAATGGCAAAATAATCCTTTCATTCATGTTCTTATATATTATGTCTTAAAGGCAAGGATATGTGTTACTTGCTTAATGACTGGACTAGAGACTTAATTATGCCCCCATGCTCGCCAGCACTTGAAGCTCGGATGTTTTGGAAATCACCTGGCCAGGGCTTTGATTCAATGCTTTGTTTGGCATCTGAATTATATGCCTCATTGCTTCACGCACCTATTTATTAATTACTCAGGAGGCTGGAATCTGCACGGAGCCCGTCACTTTGAGAAATCTATACTGGGCACGAGCCTAATCAAATCAAAGCTTGGAGAACTGGGCCAGTCAGGTGCAGTGCTCGATTGTTGGCCGGGCATCTTGCATGCCCGATGGCCGGCCACTCGAAGTGGTTCGGATTATTAATTTGCAAGGATAGGTCAGTTACACTTCTAACTGGCACATTTACGACCGTGTGCGTCCGAGGCTCGGCTTTGCCCAAGTTTTGTTGCCCCAAAGTGAGCCATTCAGTTTCAGGGCTCATGAAATTGTGACCCCTACAGGCCATGAATGTGGGATCCTTTTGTTTGGGCCACCACGTTGGATGCACTGGAAGCGGTGAGCCATAAAGCAGATAGGCCCACGACAAGGACAGGGGACACACAACGATGTCGGTTTATGGGGCTTTGTGCTAGGACACTCAAACACACAAACACAGAGGCACGGGCGCACACACAGACACACACACAGACACGCAGGAGTCACAGGACTCACAGGCTGGGCAACTCGAATAAATACCTAGCAGAGACAGGACTCCTGGGTGGTGCTGCGTCTTGACTGCCAAAGTTCTCGGCGCGTGCTTCATAAAATAGTCATAATGAATGTTTTTATGAAATATGAAGTGGCCAAAAAGTTGCTGCCCCAGCAAAACCCCACCGAAACCCCACCGAAACCCCTGGCGTCTGCGTTGGCCTATTTGGTGCATAAGCCAAAACCAAAATGTAAATATTTTGCCATGTAATTATTTGTATACGGGACTCGAATCCGTCGCTCCTTGTGCTTGTGTGTGTGAGCTTATGCAGAGTCTTAAATGTATTAGTGAGGCCATTAAAAGTTGCCAAGTCTCCAAGGAGAGCAAGCCGAAGAAGTGAAATTGCATTGGGATTTTGGTCTTGGCTCTGGCTCCCATAAAATAATCATCTATTGCCAGCAGCATCGTTGGCAGGAAGGATTTTCGAGTTTCGACCGCTTCCAAATGCCCGACAGGTTGTGCTCTAAAGAGCCATATAAAATGTGCAGCCAGCATACTTCGTTTCGGATCCACCAAAAAAACGCTGAATACAAGCAGGCCACTTTCTAGTCCAGTACTTTAAGCTGAACAAATATTTTAAGCTTTCGAATTTAAATAGAGACCCCCCCTACGTTTATGGGGCTCGTTTCTAATACAGGCATCGTTTGTTGTGGTCGTAGGCAAGGTTGTTTGGGAACAGGACATGCAGGACACACCTTTTAAAGAGTCCTGGCCATGACAGGCTTATGGGTTTATGCTCAGCTGAAACGCTTTTACGACGACCTGTGGCTACTGTCAATATTAACTGCTGCCCAGTAATTAAATTGAGACCATGGCAGGCACACAAAAACGAACGGATATTATTGCCCCATGAGGCAGCTTTCCTTTGCGTGCCACCCAACGCTCGTCATTGGCGTTTTGGGGGGAAAGTGGGGAACTGGGAAAGTGGGGCTGTGTTCAGCTCGCGCTGGCGATAACTTTTGACACGGCAATACACAAATATCGCTGCAGCCAGGCGAGTTGACATAAGTAGGAACATAATAACGAATTTATCGCCCCACTTATTTTCACTTGCCGGGCAGAAATACGCATATTGAGGCAACTTTTATCGCTGGCGAGGCAAAACTTTCCCGGTCGAGTGTAGTGCCCGATTTTGCGAGTTGGAAACTTACTTGGCTTCCTCGCTCCAGCGGAATTAGCAAATCAATGCGATATCGTGGAATTCGGGTGCTTCAGCCAGGTATTTGCACTTTTAGCAGGAAACAATCGAACGCAAAATAGTGAGAGTTTCAATTTGACAATAATTTCATGGCTGGCGTGCGAAATTTCTGTTCACGTGCTGCACTGGGAAAAACTGGCGAGCCAAACAAGCTGCTCTATTCAAACTTTCAGCAAGCTGTCAAAACTTTCTTCAAGTGCACCTCTTGAGCTCTTGTCCTCGGTGTTTGATTAGCGTTTTGTCTCATTTCGCTTCCAAGGAAAATGTCCTAGCTGCGCGGCCTTCAGACTGGCGAATGGTATCTAATTTCGGCTGCAAAGATTTATTAATCCCGAAATCCGCCCCGCTTCCATCGCAGCACCTCTCAATGAAATTGCTTGTTTACTTGGAATTATGCAAATTTCAGCGCAATCACTGAAGTGATGAGGCCAAATGACAAACACGCCCCCAAACCGACCCACACCCATGGTATCCTTGTGTGTCCTGCCATTTTGGCCAGTTGCATTGCAGCTCTGTAACTAAAATCCCCTTAAGTGCTTGCTGTGCTTGGAAATTGAAAAGAAATTATTATAACTTGTATTTGCATTTCGCTGGCTGGACTTTGGCGAATGAGACGAGGAAGGGTTCCTTGAACGCCTCGGGCACATTGCAAGCCGAAAGTTTTCATTTTCGTTTTGGGTTTTCCCGTTTTTGGGGGCAACAAAAGTCAAGGCATGCAGTGTACGTAGTGTGCAGGGCGAAATTTGAGCTCCTTTTGCCCTTTTGCTGATAACTGCGATGGATCTGCCTTCGTCCTTTCACAGGACTTGTTATTAAAAAACTTTCGCCGAGTGCGTCGCATGTTTGGTTCCGCAGCTACTCGGTTATTTTCCTACTTACTTTCCCAGCTCGCCGGCGAAAGTTGAAGTTCAAAATTAAAAGGATTAGCGAAAGGGCGGGGTAAGCGGGCCAAAAGCAACTTTGCAGTCTATTTAGTGCTACGGTTATTTTTTCGGCACGCAAATTTGGCCAGCAAGCAAAGTTTTTTGATTGCAAACTTTCAGTGTGATTGCAGTGCATTTATTTTTTGCGTTGCGAAATGAAGATGCCTGCAACTTATTGAAGGCCCCACCCAAGCAATTTTTTGCACCTTAAGTGGATCGGGGATTGTTCTGCCTGCTGCCAAATGAAATCTAATTCAATTTCTAATAATACCCCAAAGAGAGTGGGGACATAACTTTGTCGAGACATGCTTTTGTGCTGCTCGAAACTTTGTACTTTCCATACCATATGTGTGTTTTTTTGCCCTGCTCTCGGCTCTCGGCTCTCGGCTCTCGAAATTGAAAAGCAAAACTTGGCCTGCAGTTGAGAAAATGGAAACTGCATTTGTATACAATGCATTCGAGCTGTCCAAAGTTCAGGGTCCTTCCGAGATCCCCAGATCCTGTACCCTCCGCTCTGCGAGTGTGTGGGTGTGTGGGTGTGTGGCTGTGTGTGTCGCACCAAGCTGTCAACACATTGCCTTTGACTCGAGCCCCGGGATTCGAATCGAGCACTTCCTTTACCGCTCCCCCGACCCTTTGTTGTTGTTTATCGAAGCGCAAAAGTTTGCGATGGAAGCTGCAAAGTTTCGGACAACTTTTCCCCCTCCCCCTCCACCGCCGCCTCCATCTTCTTTGGTAAGCTGCAGCAGCAAAAACTATTAAAAGTGTATCGAATCATTGGAGCTATGGCTATTCTTAAGCCGAGCTTATCGAATTGCTCCTGCGACGTGGGAAACCGAAGAGGTGAGCTAAGTGGCAGCCGTGTTTATGCCACTGCTGTGTTTCATTTGTCTATGCTGTGGATAAGGTCGCAAGGGAGTGGATAACGAATGTCAAATCACTAAACTTTAAGCTGAATTAAAGTCACGTTTAAGTTTTAATCTCTTCGCAAGCATTTAAGTTTTTGTAAATCAGTTTCGAAACAAATTTCGATAAGTTTTCAATTGCAAACATGATTGCCTGATTGCATAAGGCACTTGCTGATGTAGTGTTTTGTTTAGAGTATAATTGAAAGCCCAATTACCTGGCCTTTAGTAAGGTTCATCTAATTTTGTTTCTGTGCATAACTGACTGCAAATCAATGGCAAGTGAAAAGGTACAAAATCGTGGCACAAAGCACTTTGCCAGCCAAGCCAGCTAACTGAGCCATCCTGCAAAGGGCAGTTATGCCAGGACACGAGTCCAGCAGTCCGTCGATGACTCCCGGACAACTGCCAGCCCGGAGATCTTGCAGAGTGAGGTATGCAGCGTGGCGTGGCAAGGAGCTGGCCAACGGGTGAGCTGGTAAACTGGTCATGTCAATGGACGCAAAGTGTCCCTGTCCCTGTGCTACGTGACTGACATTAAGTATTGTCAGGGTGCTGCCTCTCGCTTTTTTCCATCTTTTCGCTAGCCACGTTTATTACTCTTGCAAAAATCATGCAAATGTCCTGGCCAAAGGATGCCAGGCCAGCCCCGTCCCCGTCCCGTTCCGGCCCAGCTTATGGTCGATTTCGAGCAAACCAAAGTGTCCTCTAATGGTAATGGGTCCTAAATGCGCCTTCCAACCTTGCCAGCTGTTGGATCCTTGGATCTCTGGCCGGGGAGCATTCGGGAAGTGCCAAAGCGAAAATAATGTGTCAAAACATAAAAGGGGTCCAAAGAGACACTCAATTTGAGTGCCAGCCGTTGAAACAGCCGAGGTTCAGAAGTGAAGTCTAAAAAATGCACAAGAGTGTCTGGAAGAGGTTACACTTTATCCTTAAGGTTATGGCCATAGATTTGTCAGATTAAACAAATATTTGAAGTTCAAAACTTTATGGTGCTCCCTATTGAACAATTCCGTTTGCCAGCGGAGTGCGATTAAAAATCTGCCAGCTAAAATATCATGGAAATTTCACTTTTGCAATCTGCGCCAATCAATTCGCAATCTTG